ATTCCCTCCATTGTCTAACTATCCTACACTCCAACTGCCTGTGATCAACTGCACTCTCAGTCCCATCCAGTTTTCCCCAGAAATGGCAAGCAGATTATAGAGCATCGAATCGTAATGCTTCATCGAACTGGATAATATAAATGTTTTGAGGTAATCCAGGCTGTTGCTGAACTGTTCCTGGTCCTTGAAAGGGGTCCGCGTTGAAGTGATTCAAGAACAGAACATACTGCACCGGTATTACTCGGACTCATCCGCTGAGTCGAAAAGTAATATGAACAGCAAGTTTGTTTTCATGTTAAAACAATTTGAAGAAGTTTACTCTTATAAAGCGATGGTGGATTAATAGTTGTGACTTTTACTGGTAACTCTTTTGTTGTTTTGTTTGTCAGTGTGAACATCAGATGATTACAGTAGGTGGAGTTGAATGCGCTAATGATACAAGCGGGGTTTTCTTCACAGTCACAGATACTGAAGCTTTTGAAGGGGTGTCCAGAAATGTTTAACTTCCAGTGGTTTGCGTTTTCCTCCTACACATAGTGATCGTGTCTTCGTGCTGTATCTGTAGTCGCTCAAGATTTGGCTCAACCTCACATCCGAAGGTCCGTCAATTAGGAACAGTAACGTCATAAGTACCCATGATCTGCATCTCTACGCAATTAATAAAAGACTACTTCTACTAGTGCATGTTTCAATTACTCAGTTACATGTTTTTCTCTTTTATTATAGCTCCTTCTGACTCATCATGGGGAAAGGATATAACAATTATATGTGCAAGAAGTTCTTCCATCCGACTAATTTCGAGAATATCAAGCGTAAATGGATGGCTGAGCAGGCAGACGAATTTGAAAAGAAACGAGAGGTGGAAAAATTGGATCAGTATCGTCGAGAACAAGAAACCTTGGAAAATCGAGTGTTGTTGGGAGATGAAAAAGCTCGTCTAGGTTTGGCATGGATGTATGACCAACCTGCCATGATGGAAAAGGTGAGCGCTAATTTTTGCATCTGTAAAAAGCATGATGATTATGGCATACAGTGCTTCACACACTAATTAGTTTATCGCCACCACGGCTACATTTCTTTGAGAGGAATTGTTTTTTACTCTACGTTGACAGCCAGCCTGTTCCCCCAGTACATTCTCTGCAATACCTTGGTGTCACTATCTCCCAAGATCTCACCTGGACCTTTAAACTCTACTTTTAAAGGATTCGACGATTGTGTTTCTTTATTTCCCGCTTGCGTTCTTTAAAAGTTTCACTGTATTGACTCGCCCGATTTTTATACTCTTTTGTTGTTGCTCATCTTTTCTACTGCTTCCCAGTTTCATTTTCCGGTCTTAGAATTGAAGATTACGCAATTCCACGCTGGTCTATTGAAATCATTTCGTGCACAGGCGGTATTCTCTATTTTGCACTTGCTTAAATTTATCGCCGACAAACAGAACTTAAACAATGCTTATCCACTTCTGTAACTGGATGTCATTATAGACTAGTGTATGGTCGTATCACTGTCTACCATTTGTCCGTTTCCCCGTATCTGTCGAGATTTCTGGCCCAAAAGGTATCCATTAGAGAAAACTTCTTGAATTGCCTACGCAATTGATATCCATTTTCAAACTTTTACGTCACAATCCATTGGATTTACGATACTGTTTTCCACTTTTTCTTTGTGATTGAGTGCGAGGATAAACGATCCTGGAGTGCAAGAAGCTGAGAATCCATTCATTACAATGAATAAAGTGATTTCTGAATTGACCTGACTCGACCATTATCGCTGTCATGACTTTTATTGTGGTAAGAATTTAAACAGTGGTTGACGTGAAAATAAGTACAATTTCTAAAACAGGAGGCAGGTCAGCTCCAGAATCATGTTACTGATTGATCTTGATGAGAACGGCAAAAAGGTAAAATTTGACTGAACAGCCAAGTACGAATCACAGATATTTTGACGCATTTCATGTGCGTGTGCACTAATGATCACATTGCTTTTGTCCGTTGTCCTTGGACGATAGCCCAGCGCACACTCGCCTCTCTTTTACCCAAATGGGCAGCCGGAAGGCCGCAATCAAAATCCGCGCATGAAAATGCATGGTTAATGGTTGCAATCAACTGAAACTGAATATGAGTAACAACAGTTCGTGGGCCTTAAAACGATGGTGTCGGTAATGGTGTTATTCATTCCGTTCGACTTCTCGCTTAGCCAAGCTTTTGCTCAGGTTCTTATCAGTATTTGTTATCCCTTCTCGAGCAGCCTATTGCCTTCTCTGCATTTGCCCAGCCTATCGTCACTAATTCTAGCACCGATCTTCTTTTGTAATATAATGAAAAGGTTATCCCATTCGGGATGCATAACCTTTTACCTCGTTCCTTATAGAACCAGTATTTGAAGTGTGACTGATTAGAGAACAAACAAATCCCCAAAAATGTACATTATGTTCTCCGCGTTCCATTCTCACACTTGTCCACTTTTCGTTTCATAATTTGTCATACCAAATGACATATCATGGAAGATGTGTCATCTTTATTCATCTCCACGTTTTTGCATCATCATGACTGATTTATAACTGGTTTTTTCCACAATTCCCCCCCAAAACATCCACACAGATATACTTTATCTTATTATTATCTGGTTATATTTTTTCTCCACCATTGCCTGTTTCAGCCAGAGCGCGATGACAAGGAAGTCAAGTTCGAATGGCAACGCAAGTACTGCGCTCCCCGAGAGAATTATTGCAAAAACTCATCGGACATCGTGGATCAACCGTTCGCGATTGAAGTGCGTAACGTGCGCTGTATGCGCTGTCGTCAGTGGGGTCATTTGAATACAGATCGTGTCTGTCCGTTGTATGGTCAGTCTTTCACACAGGAACCGACGGGGACCGAGGTGCCTTCCGTGGATCATGTTCGGGCTGGACTGCAGAAGGAGGGGTTGACTTTGAAACGGGGCACCGAGCTGGAACGATACAGTCACATATTACACAAAGCGAAAGAAGCCTTTTCGGATGTGTCGGAAAAGAGTACCAAAGAAGAGGACTCATTAGCCATGGAATTTTTACGCAATTTGTCGGAAAGGCAACGTGAAAAGCTACTGAAGAAATTGTCAGACGTCTCTGGGTCGACCGGTCACAAAAAGCATAAAAAATCCCATAAACATTCGAAGCACTCGAGGCACTCGAAAAATCATTGATGTTTTAATGGACTCATGTGTTTTTTGCGATAAAAATTACTGTGATGAATTTCCATTACACTTGTGTACACTGGTCCATCACTGTACATACTTTATTCGCATCGCACATTATCAAATCAATATTTACCCTTCTTTTTCTTCTTTACGCAATAAAATATAAAAAAACATCACGTCTCATTGGTTACTGTTGGTATCACAAATATAGGTAGGGATAGAGGCATATTCAGTGCTGTTGAAACAGTGTTCTACTACCACTCAATTTTGCCGGAAAGAACAATGCAACACGGTCAGATCAGATCAGGAGGCACAAAACCTCCATAATAACAGAATCACTTATGCTGCAATGCAACGGATGGAGATAAACCATGAACAGTTAAATTATAGTTCAAACAATAGGCAAAGAGGTCAGTGGATACGTGATTCCTTGGAGAAAGGGAGTTACTTTTTTTCTAATTTTTTTAGCATCAAACGCAGGATAGTTTGTAGACATCAGGTGTACCGATGTCCTTTCATTAGATAGATGACAACTTATTTAAACCATCACGTGAAATGTCCCTACAGTAAGTAGAATGTGACTTACAGCCCCCAAAGTATTCCAATCAATTTTTAATTAATGATAGTATTGTTACCAAGATAGATTGTATGTTGATCAAATTTGAAATACACGTCCGTTTTTATTGAATGTGATGCATCGTATATGAACTAAAATTTTCTAAATGAGTCAACATCAGGATTAATCAAAATGTATCTCTTGATCGCTGTCTTCATTTCCACATTTGGTTAGTGCGTAGGTCACTGAAACTTAGTTCTAAATTTGTCACGATGATTAGTGTGGATTGGTTCAAAAAGAGTGAATTTTTGTGGCATTCAAATTGATTTACGGCAAAATGGGTGAACTTCAGGGTCAATGACATGCTACAATGGAACATTTAGACGAGAGCCAATTTTTTAATCCAGCTTTTGAAAAAATTGCCGTTACAAGTTTTATGAAGTATAAAGATGGAATTTCACAAACATGGGGCAAAAAAGTCTAAAAGATAGAAGTTTGACATCCGGGAACAGATCTGATTAGAGTGACCGCCCGCCTGAGAATGAGAATCAGAAAAGATCAAGGGGAGGAAAATCGGTGAAGCGAGTTCAGCATGGCAGAAACCAAAAATGTAACAGGGGGAAAGAGAATAACGAAAAGAGCTGCTCGGTATTGGGAAGGTGATTGCAGATTGGAAGTTACGAACGGTTCGCCGATCAGCTGGATGGCCTTACGTTGAACATGGTCGAGAATAGAAAGAGCAGAGCACGACTCTACTACATACGCTACTGTGGTATTCGAACAGCGGGTGGATAAAATCAGAAGGTGCATCGGTGTAAAGAAACACCCTTGACGAGAGATAACCGGCTACGCACAGTGCGAGAGGCTAGTGGAGAAATTAAATAAATTACTCTGTGTGAGAGAGAGCTAATTTATGAAAAATCAATTGTGGTCGTGCTTAAGAGAGTTGGAAAGGAGAGAAGTTTTTAAACTATTGTAGGGATTAGTCCGAGATCAGAGGTTAGGGATGCACTAATGACATTTCGACCGTGATCGTAATTGGTTAGTGGACAATGGATCATTATTAAGTAGAAGAAAGGGGTTGGGTGAAATTATTGGACCTCGAGGAATACTGACCTTCACATAGGACGGCTGAGATAAGGCCCCAAGGACTCGGAAGGAGATGGCTCGCTTGCTGAGGAAACATTGTGGCCACGATACGAGAGATGAGTGGAAACCGGATGTGAATAATTTTGACATCAGACTTTTGTGCCGAGTGCGGTCGAACGCCTTTGAAATATCGATTGCAGTTGACCAGGAATTCGATGTGAAAGCAAGTAGACGAGGATCGACGAGGACGAAATACATATTCTTTTACATTTTTACTTCCGTTTATTGATTACATAATGAAAAAAATTTCAGGGTGGGGAAAGGAATCGTTCAAAGAGCTGGGGAAGGTCAAGCAGTGGTGATGGGATTTGAACATGTGTCCTCCGGGGTGATAATTTGGTGACGTTACCACCGGGCCGTCACCACCCTGTCGATGGTCATTTCACGAACCTTCGCTTTCGAGAGACGAACGCAACTGGTCAGAGATACTACTTTGAAAAAATTTCAACATTATGGAAGCAAGACTGATAGGGCGATAGTTGTTGGGATCAGAAAGGTCATCACGCTTTGGGATAGGGAAAATATTGACATTTTTACAGGGAGTCGGGAAATATTTTAGATCAAGGGAAGAACAGAAAGTGGGCCATGGAACGGGCCAATTCCCGAGCACATTTTAGTACGATGTGTAAAATACCGTTCGGATCGGTGGGTTTGCAAATATCATAGCTATGAAGAGATTTTCAAATCTTTCCGGTTTATATGAGAGGTAGAAGGGAGTGGTGGGATGTATAGTATCGAAGTTGAAGTAGACAGTCGATGGATGTGGTAGAGTTAGAGGCAAACATGGGGACGAAGACCGCTTTCTCGAGGGGTCCACAAACAAGAGAACCAAAGGAATCGCATATGCCAGGGTAGTCAGAGGGGCAAGAATTACGTGAAACCGCCTTAGGGAGGAAACAAATTACTCATTCACCAGTGGTGAACGAAATCAGGTGTTCTTCTTGGTGGTTAATAAAGCGTTCTTTAGCTTTTTTGCTAGGAAGAAACAGTTGCGGAGTGTTCGATTGGTTGAGCAGCGTAAACGAAGAAATGCTGAGTTTTTAAGACGTCACAGCACGGTTGCAAGCATCTCTAAACCACTCAAAGGGTCTTGGCTTGCCGGGAGCAGAGAAGCGTGAAACATAAATATGCATGCCTTGAAGAGCAATCGCAGCGAAGTGTGAAACAGAAGGGGAAACATAACATTTGAAACAACAGTTTTCTGAGGATAATAAGCCAGAAAGGCACGCAAACCATCCAGTTGGGTGCTTCGTAACGTCAAAAGGGGCGGCTGTAGTTCGGGACGAGATAAATGATCGAGAAAGGAAATAAGGCAATGGTTTCATGATCCGAGAAAGGAGAGAAAAGTGAAGTTTGTGAAAGAAGAGGGAGAAGATGTGAAAATGAGGTCAAGAATGTTGGCGCGGTCACCAGTACGACCAAGGGGGCGTGTGAGAGGTCAATTACACCTTTTCCCAGCAAGCTTCAGCTACAACCCACATGCCAACGTGTTGCCCGTCATCGAAAAGCCCATAAAGGACTGTATAACTGTTTCACCCTTTTTGTAATCATCAAGAGCTTGCATACACTGAATCCTCAGAAATTCAATCCCAGACACGGAAAGCCATTGATTCGGTAGCCTTAAGTAATTTGACCACCCGGAATTTCACTCAATATCTTTGTGATGATCCAACGCTCCCAGAGAATACCAGCTAGGGAGCGACACGATACAGTTACAGAGCGACCAATCAGAAGCCCGTGTTCTAGACCAATCATAGTTTGAACGGTTCAGGGTAAAACCATGTCACTAGGACACAAATGGCGACTGGTCAATACGAGTTCAGCCGATGATATTACAATATAAGTGTCACTTAAACCTCTTGATTTTCTTCAACAACTACATTTATGGCCTTGTCCCTACGTCTCAGTATTTGAAGACTTGCTGCACAATCACCACAGGTACTGTAATGATTATACTAGTAGTAGTTTTACGCACGGAATTCGAAACACCAACTACGCAATAGGAATCAAGGAACACGAATCAAAGATCAGGTATTACAGACTGGACTACGGAAGCACTGGACCTCAATGGCACGAGCTCGCAATATCCCACGTGGACGAGATGCGAGGAAAAGGCCACAAGACTGGCAACTCGTAATTCGTTTATTGGAAGAAATGAAAGAGATTAAATATATGTACAAAAGACGGTCATTGGTTATCTAGGCTTCCACCAATCATACTACAGTATTGCCTGCACGATTCTGCCTCTGTCTCAAGTGTATCAGATTGGCTGGCACGATCCACCTATGGCGTGTAGTCAGAAGCCGTACACGTGTCATTGAAGTCACCTTTCAAATTTGATTGATCGCATGTGTCTGAAAACTGTGATGCGCCGATCAAGGGCCTGAATCACCACAGATACATAAAGACAGTAACTCTAACCCATTATAAATATGGGTAACTCCCTCTTACCATGCCATAGCTAAGTGGCTGGTGGTAATCCCGAAAGCTATGAGAGCAAATCTGTCTAGTCATATATTAAAGGATTTCCATCACTTGGTGGTTAGAATTTTACTTTAACGTAAGTGAGTTACGCATGAAATCACTCGACATCATTTCCGTTTTCCTAAACGTTCTCTCATTGCTGAAACTATTGAAAGACATATATAACATACGAAGCAATACTTACCAAAAGGGAATATCCGTTGATGATATCAAACAATTGGTATAATTTTGAACACAATATACAATTGAAATTGAACGACTAATTTTATCACCAAAGAGATAAGGTCCCTTCTTGGTCCACTTTTTGACCCCAGCAGAAGTCATTGAAATCCGCCGGCAAAATCTCCTCTCTGTTCACAAAAGCGATTCGTAATTACACTCGATTTTCCATGGCCAACACCGCACACGACACAGACATCCTCCAGTTCCCGCCCCTGATCACCCGAACCAATAGGTGGATGTGATGACCAAAGTGTAAGCATCATCATCTGATCATGAAAGCGGAATAGGGATTATTTTCCTTCCTGTTTGTTCATGAATCCCTCGCCCTGTTGTTTCGTTCGCGTCACATCACGTCACTCACAAACAAAACACATCACAGATAACACACAATGACACAATAACAGAAAATGAGTGAAGCAAAGCTTGTCCAAATCACGAATCGACACAACACAGAATAATAACACCATAGTAGTGGCGCTCACTATCGATGATGGACGAGAAACACAGGTAGGACACTCACAGTAGACGTGCACGATATCAAACAGAGATACGAGGTAGGTTCGAACACTACAGAACGCGGGTCTCAACGGCCATA